TTTCCTCTCCCACTTCCCACAGCCCAAAGGGCCATCAGGAGCCAACTTCAGCCAAAGGCACCCGAGGTACCAGTGTACAGCAAACTGTGTGTGTGCCGGGGAGTGGTGAATGCTGCCTCACCTCCCACTGCCAACACTCGCAGCCAGGACTCCAAGCAGGCGCCGTGGATTCACTACCAGGAGGATTCAGTTAGACCAACCCTGGTGGGCTGGCCGGAAACCCACTCAGCCATCCTAAGGAACACTGTTTCTATAGGAAAATGCATACCAGGTCCCAGACTTCTGGAATCATCTACTGGTAAACTAGAGACAGCATGAGTGGAAAACACAAGTCCATTTATAGTAAAGGTAAGGAGAAGGTCAACACGGCCCAGATTCCCCGACCCTGTTTCTGTATTTTCCTTTATCTTCATTGTTTTTCTCCTTTTCATTCTCCATTAGCCCACTGTGGCAGGTACATAATCTCCCGTCAACTTGGGCAAAGGGGGGGAGTCTAACCTGTTGATTAGGTAGCGGCTTGATGACCTCATTTGGAGGCACAACAGAGATAAATAGCTCACTGGGGGCCAGACACACTCTTTCTGCTTTGTCTTCCTGCTGACAAGACACACGGAACTATGCTGATGGAACCAGAACCCTGGAGCTGGAGAAGGCATGTGGAGACCCACACCAGCGCCGAGATATTTCCACCGCCACTGGATCTAGAAGACTCTCTACCCACTGGCCCGTGATCTTCCTGCATTCAGCATCATTGCAGGGGTTGCGTGAGTCTGAAGAGGACTTTATAGACTGGTATCAGACCTATGGGCTAATATCGGACTTATGGACTTGATCTGGACTGGGTTGGGATGTTTTCTCAATACACAATTGCTCTTTGATAGAAAGCTCTTTCTCTCTGAATCTGTTTCTCTAATCAACTCTAACATACCCAGTTTCTAAAATACTACATTTCTTCTTCTTAAAATACTAAATTTGAGAACATCCACCGGTTCAACAGCTTCTACGTGTCCACTTCGCGACTGGTGACTCTTCAAGCTGTCCAATTGTCCACACACTCCTTTTCCTGGTGGCTGGACACCAACTCCCTGTCCCCGGGGTTCCATGTACTGCAAGCTGCTGTCAGCAGTTTGAGCTCACGGATAGATGTGAACAGAGCACGCTGTGCAAGGCAGACCTTCTTCACCAGGTAAGCTAAACTACTATTGAGTTTGAAGAAGGGCTGCACAGACTACTTTTGCTCTAAGGCTTACAGATGATCTCAGGGCAGTCATTTCAAAGCGGCTCATCCAGTCCCCATGGTTCCAGAAACCTGGATTATATGAGAATCTGAAATTCTGTTCTGCATTCAGCTATTAACTCCTAAGAGATCCTCCATAAAAGATAAACATCCCAGAATATGTGAAGATCAGTTTGGTCACAGACCTACAGCATTCTATATATCTATTTCAGTGTTCTAGTGTGACGACACTTTTTATTTTACCACATGAGGGAGCTTCACTACATCTGTGGGAAAATTCCACTATGGTTACTTCTCTGTACTTCTGCCTAAAACCTCTGTGTACTGTTTTGGGGATTTCTTAGCGCACATGCAACACAGATACAGCTTTGAAAAGGCAGCACCAGGGAATCATGACCACGTGCCTTGGCACACAGGGCTCGGAAGCAAGTTCAATTGGTTAAGCGGTCTCGTGCTTCACTGGCATTTCCTTACCACCCCTGAAGCACTCCTGGGGTCATGGTTATGCTTTGGGCTGCCGACTGCAAGGTCAGCAGTTCAAAGCCACCAGCCGTTCTGCAGGAGAAAGACGAGACTTTTGACTTCTGTGAGCAGTTACAGCCTCAGAGACCCACAGGGGCAGTGCTGCCCTGCCCCCTCGGGCCACTGGGTGTCAGAATCCACTCGACGGCAGCGAGTTTGGGGTCTGCAGGCATAAAGCAACATCATTTTAAAAATAAATAAAACAACCCCCAAAACAGGAATCGATATTCCTAGGCATTTTTCTAAAAGTAAGAACTATTACACATAAATACTATATTATAGCACATAATTTACAACAGTACAATCAGAATCTACAATTTCCATCAACTGATGGCTGATTAAATGAACACCGGTGAGTTGTATTATATTGTTGAAAAGACCGGGCTGTGCATCTGCATTAATAGGCGGAGCTTCCGAAACTATTAAGACCTGAACACCAGACTAGAAAGCAGTTGCTCCAGCAAGCCCCCTGGTGCCACAGCGGCTAAGTGTCGGGCTATTACCGCAGCCCATTGCCCGATTCCATAAAGATTACAGCCTTGGAAACCTGGGGTGTGTGTGGGAGGGGTGTGGGGGGGTGTACTTCTAAGGGTGTGTGTGTGTGTGTGTGTGTGTGTGTGTGTGTACTTCTAAGCATCCTTAAGGAGTCAGAATCCATTCAACAACAGTAGGTAGGCCAATTTGATCACTCAACAGCATCTCACTCACTCACCCACTCACTGCCAACGAGCTGATTCTGACTCGGAGCCCCGACCGGACAGAGTACAACCACCACTCTGGTTTCCGCGTCAGTCGATCTTTACAGGAGCAGAAAGCCTTATTTCCTTCCCCTCCAAGCAGCTGCTTGTTTCAAACTGCCGACCTTGCAGCCCAACACATAAACCACCACGTCACAAGGGCTCCCCCTTCCCAAAGTGAAGAGTCTTAAAAACTCATCAAAAACGGTTCTGTGGAACTGGCACTACCTACAATTCTCATTTTAACAAAGTATGTTACTTTTTAAATGTAACAAACGTACATGGCGGTTTCCAGCAGGGAGGAAACCATGGGCGCATGGGACTCACGTAGGCTCAGCTGACGGGACTGTCGACCATTGCGGCAGTTTGTTTGTTTTGTTTTGCTTGGGGGGGAGGGGGGACCAGAATCAAAAGCCTTGCAGGGCTCACACCCTTCAGCTCGGCGCTTTCCCTTTTTGGAATTGATTGTTGAGGAAATAATCAAGGGCCTGGACAAAACGTGAAGTTTCCCACAGCTTTGCGCATCCAGGCCAAAACATCAACATCAAGCCAATCTGGAGAGCAATAGGAATGTCCGATCACAGCACAGCAGCTGGCTACACCAACCACAATACGCAACGCGACACCTGACAGACAGCAGATAACCACCAGGGAAACTCCGGACACAGAAACAGGCTCGCTTCCTGTTACAAAAGCCGGCTATCAAATAATCCCGGTATGATTTCAGTGGGGAAAATAGAGCGCATGTACATTCACAGGGAACCAGAGACTAGAAGAATACAAACCATGCTCTCTGGAGTTCAACAACAGCGTGAATGACATGGGATGGTTTAGTTTCTTCTTCATGGTCTCTGTGCGGTGAAACTTTGATATGTACACATTTTATTCTTATCCTCTAGTTCAAGTTGAGCAATGTTTTCAGAAAGTGGTTTTTATCAATTTGTCACATTATCTACTTCAGAGGGGGGGGGGGTCCTTTGGAATTCACACACGTCTTCAACTCTGAAGAAAAGGCATTACACGTTGAAGTATTTTCCTATCCAGAACATAAAAATCTTCAACGCGACCTCATTTATTGAACCCGGAGAAGTCGAGTCAAAGACCACACACCTGAAAACGGTTACCGAATCAGAGAGAGAGCCAACAGCAAGATCGGGATAGGAATTTCTGTCGAGGTCCATATTTCCGGCAATGGAGTATCCAAAATAAGGAGTCTTACCCTCGAGAACCTGCAATGAACAAGACATCAGAATGGGCATTGGGTCAACAGCTCTTATTAAGATGCTTTGAAAAAGACACACACTTTTCTCTGGAACTGAAGTGGAAGAGTTCATTGATGAATTAGAATAAGCAGCTATGTGCATACACAACCGATGCTTTGTACATTTCACCGAGCGGAAGTCATCGGAGGCGCACAGTATCTCAAGGAGGAGAGCAGACATTGGAGGAGGTGGAACACGGTGCGAGGTCCACCTGGATGTTTCCAAACAAAGCTCCCTGATCTGACCTCTCTCTCAAAAACAACTTTTCTCAGAAGTCATTTTAAAATTTTGGGTGTCTGCATTTTTCACGTAACCCTGGTCATCTCTTTCATTTGCTTGGATTCATTACTATGTAGCATGCTACTACTGGAAGCATGTCACACCTCTATCCCTTTAGCTTGTCAGGGCAGGAATATTTCTTTGATTTCAAACTTAATGAAGATATCTGATCATTTAATTGGTCATTGTATTTTTATCTATTTTCCAGGTTGTCTTCTAATAATACGTTACAAAAACAAATTCCATGCTACCCTAGATCTGATTTAAGTAAAACATGATTCGTGTGAAAATGCACTTAAACCTAAGTAATGTAATACAAGGCAAAAACCTGAGTCCCTTATTGTGGCGATCTGGGTTATTCAGTTACCTGTGTTGGCTTGGTATTGATTCCATTCGGGGACCCATGATAAATGAAAACCTTTCCCATGTCATCATAGGGCGCTCCAACGGCAATGTCTGTAGACAACAGCACATTTGGACAGACATGAAATCTTTAAAACATCCTAATACAGTGTTTTAAAATAAGGTGCTATAAAAACCCACTGCCCTCCAGTCAATGCTGGCTCGCAGCAACCCTGTAAGACAGTAGAACTGCTCCTGTGGGTTTCAGAGGCGGTACATCTTGATGGCAGCCAACAGCCTCATCTTTCTCCTGAGAAGCAGCTGGTAGATTCAAACTGTCGAGCTTGCAAATTAGCATCCCAATGTGTAACCCGCTACGCCACCAGGGTTCTTTGATATAAACACTCATTATTTTAAACAACCAAATTATCTATAAATCTGTTACTTACCTGGGTAGCCATCTTGATTAATATCGCCAATATTTGTAACTGCAATGCCAAACATAGAATCTTTGGTTCCATTAAGACGAATTGGCTTGACATTTTTCCATCTGCCTTGCTGGTTAATGTAGACGTACACTGCACCACCGACTTCTCCATCCCTATCAAAATACTGTGGGGCTCCAATAACTATATCTTGCCACCTAGAAACATCATTAGGGAACAAACTGTGAACCGTCTGCTAAAATAACTGAACATTTAGGAAAACAGTACCAAACCAGGTATAAAGGATGCAAAGAGATACGGTAGAAGAGACTTAAACAAACAACCCAAGTAGCCTAAATACATGCTCCCTCAAAAAGTATTTAGAGTAAGAACATGAATCTAGTTCCCAGATCATAATTACAGTGCAGTGGGACTCCCCGAAAGAGTCCACACTGCCCTATCCAAACTGGCACCAAAAGCCACATCTCTGGGTGTTGTCTTTGCCCCCACCCCAGGCCTACTTTCGCCAGGATATCCTGGATGCTTCAATAGCCCCTTAAGAAACCAATGAACAGACCCATGTAGGAGTCACTGGGTAAAGTTAATCACTTTTTTCAAACTTTCATCCCCATGGGCCAATGATCCTGAGACAGGAGTAGAATTCTAACGTCACAAATCTCATCCTCCATCCTAGAAAGGATAGGGAATGCCCGCTGACGTCATACAGGTGATGGGGAGGTGACGGGGTGGTAAACATCTAGCGGCAAGATAATGCTTTGGTTCAACTAACCTGAAAAGGCGGCTCTTCTCAAAGGCTACAGAGGCCAGCCAATGAACTGCCATCTAAAACCACCTAGCCCGCCCTTACCCGTCTTTGTTGAGGTCCACCACTGCCACGTCATAGCCAAACGAAGAGGCCAAGCCTTCCCCGTCAAAGATGTGCTCGGGGAGGAGATGTGTGGACTTCATGTCTCTCTTTAACAAGACCACAGCTCCGCTGTGATTGGCTCTTGGGGCACCAGAAACGAATGTGAGCTCATCTTTAGACATAATGCCTTTCCCTGAGTCCAACGAAAAGCCTAGGAAAACAAAAATACAGTCTCTCTCATCGACCCTCGACTTCCGGAGGCACTGCCATTGGTGGCGCCGTTGCTCCCTCATCCTCTTGGTTCATCCCCTCACCTGGACCCTCCCACGAGCGGTCCTATTTGTCATACAAGTAAATTACGCAGCTAAGAGATCTGACACAGGTACAGAGTAGTAGGGCCTTCCCACTGCTTTCTATGGATATTAAGACTTTAAAAGACAAGTCTCTATGCATTTAAAGTTCATGTAACTTGAATCATGAACTATTCATGCGCACTGAGAACCCATCTGAACTCCATTTTCCAAAATGGAGGTAAGAGGAGCTTAAGTTAGGGATTACTGTGGGTAAATTGTGTCATATGCGGAAAGCACAACAGTTGACCGACAGTGCAACTGAGCTTATGTGACAGGGCTCTGCTACAATGATGAAGATTTGATTCATGAGGTGTCCGTATACTTTGGTCTCCTTGGTAACTGGGCAAAATCAAATGCTAACAATCATTAATATACCATAGATAGCATTTTATTAATTTGGACCAACCCCATTCTCAGACACAAACATGCAAACAAAACCACGACTGATGGATGATAGGTAGTATTTGAGAACCTCGTATGCACAACAGAGGTGAGCAGATCATCGCTGGCCTTCATGACACTGTTGTTCAGAAGGCAGCCAGCCATTGACACGCCTAATTATAAGGCATCAGACTGAATTCGGGGGATGCACAGTGAGATTTGGGGCAGAGGACACATCTAAGTGCCCGCTCAAATCGAGGACATCTTTGCACAATAAAGGCAAAGCAAGGTGCAGAATAATGTACGCTCTCCCCCGTTACGGGGCTGTATTAATGAAAAAATGTCCCCACGGCTGCCGAGTTCTCAAATTGTGAAGTGAGTTGAGAAAACAGGATGAGGCACGAGCTTAGGACAGGACTCTGTCATCCAACCCAGTTCTGCAAAGCAGCTAGACAACAGAGCTCCCCCTACGGCATGCTTTGTGTGGGCTGCTCCACTTGAAATGGAAGAGAAAATAAAAAAGGTTTATGCTCTGTATGGATCAAGTCTTTGTTTTCAAATGACCATGACACCAAGACAATCTATTTGCCGCCGCGTAGGTCACACACCTAGGTAGCTATTCATCATCACATCAGGGGATGTGTCAGGTGGCTCCCTGGGAGGCAGCGTTTTATAAACAAACTGATCGGGATCGGTATAGGAAATGCTGGTCAGAAACAGCAGGCCTGAGCACACACACGGGACGCAAGAGATGGAGGGGAAAAAAATAATTATGCTTGGTAAGAGGCCGGGCGGCTGCAGCAGGCTGCCAAATGAGGAGGCCACCGTTGCAGCAGCAGCAGCAATATTTGCTAGCTTCTGAAACCTCAAGCAGATCATTTTGTTCCCCAAACCCACCGAGATCTTTTGAAACAACAGATTCACAAACAACCAAAATATAACAGGGAGAGCTTGGCCCCCCACCCCTGCCCCTCAAACAAACAAAACCAAACTCCCTGGCATCCAGCCCATTCTGACTCACAGCAACCCTACAGAAGAGGGCAGAACGGGCCCTGCGGGTTTCCAAGCCGGTAACTCTTTACGGGGGCAGAAAGCCTCGTCTTTCTCTTGCAGAGCCCCCGGTGGTTTCCAACCGCTGACCGTGCGATTAGCAACCCAGCGTGCAATCACACCGCCTCCACCCTGCAGGCACCCACTTTTGAGAAGATTCATTCCGAGCAAGTGGCAAATGTGTTCTCATAAAAACCGTTTACTCCTTTAAAGTGGTCTCCCAGCAACTATGGTGATCAAATCCCTGGGCAGCTATCTTCAAGACCAAAGCGTTGGTTTCTTGACCAGAGCGATTAACACGAAATCTTGTTTCACCATAAATACTCTCTAAATAATGCATTTGCAGTGAGAGGGGTTGTCTGTTCAAACAGATTTCAAATAAAATATTGGTGTGCTGGTACTAGCTACCTTGAAAAGGATTTTATCTCGAAAACTCCTCTTCTGTAACTGAGACTAAGTCACTCACCCGAGTTCCCTTCCTGCCCTGCAAGGTCACTAACATCCCATTCACACACCCAGCTTGTCGCCTCTCCTGCTTCTGGCCTGTTCACCAGTCTGTCTCTGCTGGGTGGGGAGATGAACGTTCACCTTTGGATGAGGAAATTAATCCAAGCTGCAGTTTTTCTCATTGGCTAGAGGGCAATATCACCAATCATATTGTTGGGAAGATTAAGTAAGTAGCGCACCTGATATAGTCACCTGCCCTGTAGCACAAGGTAGATGCTTAATAAAACACTGCCAATGAGTTGACTCCGGCACATAGCGACCCTATCGGGCAGAGAACTGCCACATGGGTTTCTGATGCCTCAGATCTCTGCAGGAGCAGACACAGCCTCGCGTTTCTCCCACGCAGAGGCTAGTGCCCTCAAACCACTTCTCTCGGAGCTAGCAGCGCAGTGCGCAGCCCACTGTTCCACCCGAGCTCCTTCTACAAAGAAAACCTCACTCACTGCTATGGAGACGATTCCCACTCTCAGGGACCCTATAGGGCAGAGGGGAACTGCCCCTTAGGGTTTCGGAGGCTGTGTATCTTTACAGGCGCAGAAAGCCTCGCCTTACTCCTGGAGAGTGGTGGCGGCGGGGTCAGACTGCTGGCCTTGCAGAAGTTCAACGCATGGCCCAGCAGGGCTCCTCCAGTGTTCAATAACCACGAAGAATTTTGTTCTTCTTTCTACACTTTATCCCCACTTCACTTCTGGGGGTGAGAGATGGGACTCTGAGAATGTTTTCACAAATCAAAGTACAGTTCAATCGCATCTCAGCCTTTTGGCTAAGATCAAGTGTAAAAGGATCGTTCATATGTATTATACAATTAGACTTTTTGCTTTCCCCAGAGGGTGTGTTTTTACTAAGATGTTGTTTAAAACATTCCTATCTTGTTTTCCTTCCCTTTGTCATCTTCCAGAGTCCCAGTGCTATCTCTAAGCATAGGCGTATTTTTCTCATGATTTTTAAAAAAAATAGGTTGCTATTTAGGTTTTAGGAGATTTTTTACATTTCCCCCCCAAGAAATGCACAGTAATTATTCTTTATGTCAACTCATACGAAGAAGCTTTTAAAAGCTTTTGTGTAATTACCATAATGCACATGAATAATTTAGGACCCCATTAGAAATGCAAACAAGCTTTAGGAGCTAAGGAATTGGCACTTAGACACAGCCTGGCTGTCCTTAAAGCTGCTTTAAGCAGGTCCTGCTTTCAGCCCCGGTGCCACCCCACCCCAGCGCTCTGACATGGAGGCCCCAAGCCAGAAGCAGGCCAACCTCTGGAGAGCTGGCAACGGCAGAGTGAGGGCCTAGAGGTCTGGAACTGCCACGTGGGAGCGGCTCCAGGAGGTGGCGGAGAAGGAGAGCGTGGGGGTAGGAGCACCACGAGGCACGTGCGTGTGTTCCACCAGGGCTGAAGGCGTGGGGCCACCATTAGCTCAGCAGTCGGGTTCTCTAGCATGGGGCATAGGCATTTTAGGAGGTAATAGGTTTCTCCCCACCTTGAGGGAACCCCAGGTCAGGGGGAAGGATTCTAAACACCAGTCAGGTCCCTTCAGGATCCCCAAGATTGAAAGCCAATAGCGGCCGCAGGCCCTGGTTCCTCCAGGCTGCATTCTCCGCCTGGGCAGGCCAGGGTCCTGGCCCCCAGGAGGGGAGGGTCGCAAGCAGGGTCTGCAAGGCGGGCACGCCGTCTCCGTTCCTTCCTACCTAAGTAACTGTTAGCAGGGACAGGAACTAGACTTTCGTCATGGTTAGTCTCTCCACCGACTTCATAGGGCCCATCTTCGAAGATGTTCATGTCAAAAAAAGTGTTATTCTTTTGCTCTACGCGAACAATCCCTAAAGAGGTGAAATGGAAAACAAAACAGAAACATGATGATGAAACAAAATAAAAGCAATGGTTCCTCAACGCATACAACCTCACTGCTCTCTGTGATACAGGGCGACGAGGTTGAAGGAAGAAAAGGCAGCGGAGAGAGATGACTTTGAAGGTTATTAAAATTAAAATAACAATGATAACATAAAGCTTTGCTTCAAAGAAATGTGTTGTACCAATTCTAAAACATTATCCTATGTCTTTTCATAAACTATGATGCCATGAACCTAGATGGAAACTGGAATAACACCGACTCTGCCAACACTTTTTAAATCGGTTTTAAAACACTTTTTAAACCTGTGCAAACCACTTTTTAAATCGACATGAGCTTAATACACGTAGTATTTGACATGCTCTGTAATCCAAAATTAACTTAGCATATCTTTTGTCATACAGAAATGAAATTAGCATTTTCATCTCTCCTTTAAATTAATAGTATCAACATTCGATCTTCTCAAAAGGCTCACATTTAATAAAAAGGCAGATATGTAAATAAACTCAAAAACATAATTTAACTTATTTTCAATTTGATAACTTTTTTCATTTTCTTCTTTTTTGTACTATTCATTAGCTCCCCAACTTTTTTAAAGGCCCCTACTTTAGAAAACTGTTTAGAAAATCAGTTAAGTCATATTGTTGATAAATTGAAATATACCTAGTTGGTTGTTTTGCTAAAATGGTATCTATTCTTGCAAAAATAGGAATGTTTCTAAATTTAACATGTTATTTCAAAAGGAAACTACTCACACAGGTACAACCTACAGCAGGTATAGCAGAGGAAAATAATTTCTAACAGGAAGTAAAAACTGGCTTTTTTTTTTTTTTTAGTGGAAAAGGGACATTTTTCTGTTTTTCCTCACTGTTGAAAAATTATACCACATGGTTTATTTTAACATAAATATCTCACAAAAGGTCTCATGCCCAAATCACATACATTCCCTCTCATCATGAATTAAGAGTTAGAAAAATCCTTTACGATGGCGTGCCTTTCTAGATTTACCTCAGTTTCACAGAAGCTAAACTTTTAGGTCAGGAACTGGCCAGATTCAGTCAGTTAAGAGTGAGCCATTCCCTCTCGACCACCCAGTGCTTCCTTTCCCCATAACACGCAGCAATGGTAGATTTTCCTCAAGGTCTATGAAACGATTATCTCCAAGTCCCTCATTTGCCTGACATCTGCCCTTCTGAGTTGATGCATTTATTAACAAAGCACAGTCTTTGGGGATAGACTGAAACAAAAGGGACAGCTACGATGACACAGTGTCATTTATACAACACACTAAAGATTGCCATCCAAACCCACTGTCATCCAGTAGATTCTGACACGGAGTGGGTGACGATGCTGCAGAGCAGGGTAGAGCTGCCCCATGGGATCGCGGGCGGCCGTCTCCATGGAAGCAGAAGGGCACATCTTGCTCCCAAGAGATTTGAACCGTCAGTGCGCGCATGGCGGAGTGCTTTAACCACAGCGCCACCAGGGCTCCCGTACATGCTACCATTCAGTTCTTCACAGTGTTCAAGACATTAACTTAACATTAAAATCTCCAATAGCAAAAACCATTCCGTTATGTTAATGGCTATATTACTACACAAAAGAGGGGAAAAAAATCAACTGCTTATATCCATGAACATTATGGGTTAAGGGGGGAAAAAAGCCCCCAAATCTTTCAACACTAAAATAAGTGTATATATTTTCACTCACATTTGGGTTTTTCTGAAGAATCACACTTTAGAGAATTTGATTTCTCCTACCTTACTTCCACAATACACAAATAAATGCCTTGTGACATACCTGGTTCTAACTTCCATGTACTAAACCATAGCACATCTTTACAGAAATAGTATATACGTTCTAATTTCTGCGCCTGTCAATGGAAATGGCTTACCTTTCCAGTTGTAAGTACCCGGCGCTCCAAACACAATGTAATGAAAGTCTTTAGTGAAAGTAGCTGCCACCCCTTGCTGGCAAGAGCCAAATTTTTCATGGCCTCTCAAACGACCATCGCAAAAACTCCAGTCTCCTCCATCCATATCATCTTCAATCCTGAGATTCTGGCTCAGGACGTAACACCGCCCAAAGATGTCTCGGGTTTCCTGCTTCGTATTCACATGCTGCCTCTTTTCGTACCGGTGAGCACATGTCTGCAAACATATGGAATAAAGTAGCTGTGTGCGTGTGTGTGTGCGTGTGTGTGTGTGTATCAAGGAGCAACACTGTTGGTCATAAATAAAGCAAGCGGTTAGTGCTGACAGAGAAAAACCAGTTGCCATTGAGTTCATTCCAGTGTCAGGTGCTCCCACCTGAATCAGAGTAGAATAGCGTTACACCGAGTTTTCAAAGGCTGCTTTTTTAGGAGACAGCCAGGCCTTTCTTCGAAGGCACCTCTGGGAAGACTCAAACCTCCCACTTTTGGGTTGGCAGCAGACCATGTTCACTGTAGGCACCATCTAGGGACTCCAAGAATAAATGTGTTGGTGTTCAACCCAGGACTGGATCCCACGCCTGAGATGCTTTCCCCGCCTCAGAAACTGAACGCAGTGCTGCTGAGGCCATTCCAGCTCACGGCAGCCCCAGGTGGGGTTTCTGATACCGCGAGTCTTTATCACACAGGCAGCCTCGTGGTGCTAGTGAGAAGTGGCCGGTGAATTTGAACAGTCCAACCTTGAGCTCACGGTGCCCCCAGGGCTCCTTGACTCTTTCCCAATGTGTCCCCAATCACTTACCTAGCGTCTAGAAGCTAGAATTCTGTCTTCTCTTCCAAATAGTAAATGCCGATCTATAATCCATAGACAATCCGTAACATGACTTCCTATCACTTCTTCATAGCCAGTGTCCTGAGTCCACGCTGGCTCAAGGACAGGACAGAACAGACCCTCAGGGTCTCCCAGGCTAACTCATTATGGGAGTAGAAAGCCCCATCTTTCCATGCCCTTAGCACATAGATAAGGGGAAACCCATCCTTACTTCACTCATTTTCTTAATCTAGCCGACTTTCAATGACCGCACAATGGTCACATAAACCTGCGTGTCACACAAGCCAGTCTGTGTGGAGGGGAGACGGCACCGATGTGCTTTCATAGGGATTACGTACGCACGTATGAAGGGTGTGTACCTTACCCACTTGATTTTCTTACAGTCACCTACCTCCCTTACCTTCTAAACCTTGAGATTACCACCCTCAAATGTTAAACACAGAATTACACTGCCTAAAGAAGTGGAAGAATTCACTTTCATTCGGCAGGCATTTGGGGTTGCCCCTGGCTGACAATATCTCATCATATCCCAGTCATTTTCCCTTGAGTCGCAAAACTCCATGTTTAGGCAAAAAAAAAAAAAAAGCAGGGTTCCGCACACAGCTGTTTGTTATCATTGCCAGGTCACCTGTCCAAGCCATCCTCTCTCTTCTCTGGGACCCGCTGGCGAAGCTCAGTTTAAATGACAAGAGTATACTTTTGACGGGACTGTCTGCGACCATGCTCACATCTTTACAATTCATCTCTAAGAACAACGTAGCTCCCAGAGCAGAAACCATTTCTGGTTTTACTTTGCCTCAAAAAAAAAAAAAAAAAAAAAAGACTACCTAGGGCTTACAAATACCTTCTCTTAACGTGAAAAGGGCTAGAGAAAAGCAGGTTGTGAGGCTGTTCAAAAGTGAATTGCAGGGCAAGTAATGCTTTGATTTCTCCCTGACGTGAATCTGGGCTTTAAAGCAATGCAAACTCCATGCAGGTCGGCGTTGTATCTGTTCTGTCCACTGCAGTGAGCCTCAGGGTTCTGGCTCCCAAATCGACACTCAAAAGGTTTGGGGGATACACAATGTGGCAGTTACAACATCTCCTGTTAATGTGGCAAAGGGGTGGGATCTAGCCTGTCAATCAGGTCAGAGCCAATCATGCCTCTGTGTGGGCATGGCCTTCTCCTGAGGATTCTGGGAACTCCTGTTTTCCTCCCTGGAGATAGGACACACACTCTCTCTGCTACACATTCCTGTTGAAAAGCAACATGGAGCTTTACTCATGGCAGCCAGAGCCCCGGAGCTAGAGGAGCCATAGAGAGGGAGACCCACGCCAGCGCTGAGATGTTTCCACTGCCCTTGGATCCACAAGACTTTCCAGCCACTGGCCTGTGATCTACCTGAATCTGACATCATTGCATGTGTTGCATGAGTCTGAAGAGGAATTTATAGACTGGTATCGGACATAGGGGCTAATACCGAACTTATGGACTTGATCTGGACTGGGCTGGGATGTTTTCTTAATACACAACTACTCTTTGATATAAAGCTCTCTCTTATACACATGAGTGTCCTTGGATTTGTTTCTCTAGTCTACCCGGACTTATACACACACAAGCCTCTCACACTTACCACAACTTTGCCCCCTGGGCCCTGGCTCTGGACCGTGACACCCATCCACTGATCCTCCTTGCTTTCCGATGAGGGGTCAGCTGTGAACAAGCAGCACAGGTCACACACACACAGTCAACGTGGCAACAAATCACAGGAACACAAGAAAGTAGGTCCTACTGGCTCCACTCCCAGCCTAACCACTCTGTACACGCAACTACTCGGCCTGGAGAACTGACTGCTTTTCTCAAGAAAATGGGTTAACCGGGTTATCTGTGAAGAGTCTTCCTTAGAATTCTTTCCTTAAAATGCATTGTCCTTCATGGTTGTCTATTTTATCCCCCAATCTACCTCGCCTTCTCGGACACCAGGGGCCTGAACACAAAATGGTAAGTGGATATTGTGAGACTGAGGGTTAGCCCTCTGACGTATGCCCTTAAAGCAAGAATGACACACGATGATCCGCTACAGTGAAACTTGCGAGAGCCAGAACCTGTAGAAGGTGGAAACCTGCCAGAGAAGGACAGCGCGTGGATTCTCCCCTAAAACGAGTGGCAGAGAAGCGGTGAGACTGCCGCCCGTCAAAGGCAGGAAACCCCATGAGACCCAGAAAAACAAGGTAGTCCCAGCTCTCCTCGGTGTCCCTGTGTGATCCAAACTAACAGAAAGAGGGGCTTCTTCTCGTCACCCCAGCAAACAGGTCACCCCAGCACACACGTTTTACTGCTGCACATGAGACGGGAGGCTACGGACTCAGATTCACTTTCAGTCTCATCGTTGGCAAGTTACATTCTGGATCAGGGCCAGGGAAGAGAGCAGTGTGTTTATTTTTAGCCCCCAAAGAGCGAGAAGCAATGAAGTTCACCGTGGGCACACGGTCGTGTTCCTTCAGATGCTCTGCCCTTAAGCAGCTTCCAGTTTCTTCTTCACAAGAAATTCTGACAGGGTTTGCTTTCGTTGTTTGCGTCCCTCGAAGCAGGGGTAAGAAATCTTCAATCTTCAAATATTACGAAAACATAAGAACTAAACTAGCTTAAGTCGACAAGAGGGGGGTAATGGTAAAATGTAAAGAATGAGTTAAGTCATGATATTGAAAGTGCAGAGGTTTTGTTTGTCCTCTGTATAGATCCACGTATTCAACACATTTCCTACAGTCAAGATGTATTGTTATTAATTTTTCTCACTGGTTAAAAAAAAATCTATTTCAAGCTGAGAAAGCAAGTGAGGAACTCAACATGAATCAGCAAATCGACTCACACAAAGCAAGTCAAAATTTGGCTTGGAGCGTCTCAGGATTCCAATGGAGTCTGCCAAGCCTACAGGAAATCCGGCAAACTGGACACCAACAGGACCCCATCCCAGGGCATCCTCCAGGCCCCCAGCGCTCTCCCAGAGCAAGTCCCTGCTGTGACAGCAGGGCCATTTGGTCCATACTGATGGCTCTCGTTTCTAACACTTGAGTAATTTTTCTGGCCAATGAGAACAGACGGCTGCTAAGTACTGGCATTGTGTTGATAGTTAGATGCAGCCATCCTCTACCTAACAGAACAACAGCGCTGTCTTTCGTCATCCTCACAACTGTTCTTACAGTGCGAGCACATTCGACTTCCTGACAGCTTGGAAGCTTCCTGCAGGATCTCAAGACAGCACTAGATGGCAACCTCCACACACGGTTTCAGCTCAGAAACCAGGACTAGGCGAAACTTCCCAGCGCGCTGAGAAAGTGTTTTCAGGGCACACTGAAAACACAAAAGCAAAACAAAACAGGCTGCCGAGGAGTTGACTCTGACCCATAGGGACCCACCCGCCAGGACGAGTAGAATTGACCCTTGGGGTTTCTGAGACGGTGGTCTTTAGGGATGTGGACAGCCACCTCTTTCTCCCGCAGAATATCTGGTGAGTTAGAACCGCTGACCTTCCCATTAGCAGTGTAGCACATAACCACTGCACCACCGGGACTCCTGCCCTCCTCACTGCTATTGCACTTAAAAGGTTTCCTCTCCCCAAGAACAGATGCTTGCACCCTTTTCCTCGGATCACGGAAAAGGCAAGCAGGGCACAGACGAGACAGCCACATTAAAAATGTAATCAGGAGAACGCACCATCGTTATCAAATTCAATCCGTGAGCACGGCCCGTGGGAGGTGATGTCACAACTGTACAAGCCCCCCGTCCGGTTGGCCCTCTGCCTCGGAAGGGCTTTGGCCTGAGGGGCTCCCACCAGCAACCTGTTGACAAAACAGAGAAAACGTTGGAGACTGGAGTTTAATACAAACTAAATCAGTTAGTCAGGACACCAAGCAGTCACAGAACTATTCTTCGCCCCAAACTCCAATCCCAAACCCACTGCCATTGAGTTGAGTCTAATTCATAGCGACATTCCAGGGTGTTTTCCAAGACGAACTGAGGCAGCCAGGCTCATGTCTCACAAAGTGGCTGGTGGGTTTGAACCGCCAACCTTGAGGTTAGTAGCCCAATACTTAACCCCCAGGGCGACCAGAGCTCCATGTTCTTTGCCAAGGGTCTACTAAATCTCCATCAGTCGAACAGGGAGGGAGAAGAAAGGTGGAGTCGGTGACTGGTTCACCAAGCCAGCAACAGAAACTCCCAGGAAGCTGATTCCAACTTACAGCGAGCCTTAAAGGACAGCATGGAAACTGCCCCCTGTGGGTTTCTGAGAACCTAACACTCCTTGGGAGTGGAGGACCTCGTTATTTTCTGCGGAGGCTGGTGGTTTCAAACGGCCGACCTTGTGGTTGGTAGCCCCAACGCGTAACTCACTGGGTCACAAAAGAAGAAAATAAATTTTCTTTTAATTTAAATAAAGCAGGACTATGCTCGCCGGTTATGACTGCTTCTCTCTATTATGGGTCTCTGGCTTTAAGAAGGCCTCTTTTTCACACAATATACAGTCTACATCAAACTCAAAACCAAATTGCACTCAACAGAGGCCGACTCTCACAGCCTCCCCTCCCAGTGCCATGGCTCCAACTGGGCCTCTCCACGGGATTTCCGGTGGTTGGGAACTTTTGGAAATAGATGGCGAAGGTCCTTTTCCAAGGTGTCTTCTTTGAATTCAAACTACCAACCTTCTAGTTCCCAGCCGAGAGCAATGCTTTTCCCACAGGAGGGGGGGCGGGGGAAAGTGGGCTGTGCTAAAGTTAATAATTGATCGTCGTGTTAAAGTACTTGGAGGGGTAATTTTGCCTCTATCCTTGGTTTTCAGCGATTTGGATCCTAACCTGTACTTATGATGTAACTCAACGGAATTGCCTTCTTTGGCAGCTCCCAAGCCCACGCTTGTTTCGGCCTTCCTGTCTTCTCTGACCAGCTCCTCAGCCAAACGAACAGTGCCCTGCCAAAGGTTCGGGGCTCCGCAGTTTACGTAGCACCACGTAGGTCCCAGGCCTCTCCCTCCCCAGGGCGAGTCAGTTCTTACAACCTGGGTGTCACCCAGTTGACTTTGAAGCATAGCAAACCATCGAGGGCAGAGCAGCCTTGCCACCCCGAGTGCCCCCGGGCTCTAATCTTTGTGGGTGAGAACCACAGGTCTTTCTCCTGTGGAGCAGGCTCATGGCTTCAAACCACCACCTGGAACACGTTAACCATTGGGCCACCAATACACCTTTCTTCTATAAGAGGCTCCCTAAACCAACCCACCATCCCTAAGGACAGCGGAAGGATCTCTAGATGCAGAAATAGAGGCCTCCCAAGGGACAAAGGCACAGACCCCTAGGATCCCCCAGCTAAATCACCGGGGGTGATGTTTCTCCACTCTTAAGCTGCCTTAGTGGACACACAAATCAGCATCTTAAGGAGCCTGGGGATCCCAGGCAGAACAAACGGTCCCCACACTGGGCTGCTGACTAAGCGGCTGGGGGTGGGGGGGAGTCCCTGCAGAGTCCCTCAGAAGGGGGTCTGTTTCTGAAACCCTTCAAGGCCAGGTTCTCCAGCAGCCCTGAGTCAGAGACGCCTCGAGGTGAGTGGCCCCGCCCAGCGAACCGGCAGAATCAACACAGGCTCAGAATCAACAGGAGGAGGACGGCTCAAGGTGTTGGCACGCAGTGGTGCCGGAGGGAAGACGGGCAGCTGGGAGGGCTGAAGGTCGGGGAAAAGATTCAGTAAAGGTTACCAATTGCATAGGGCTACGGAGCAATCTTGTGACTGTGCGAGCCCTCTCCTCCTTCGCACACCTTGGGAGGTCCGCAGGCTGCCTCCGGCAGGTCCTGCCCTCCGACATTTGCTGTCTGGGACACTTAGTCCTTCCTGCACGGGGGTGTCATGCAACACTGATGGAGTCTCCAGGGATGGGTAAAGAACCGCCCCTTCCCCCAACCTCAGGAGGTGCCAGATCCTCGAACCAGTCGGGAGATCGGCAGACGGAACCCACCGGCCATCAGTGAGAGAAAAGGCCCTGAGACCGCAAACCACTTAACACAGCCCACTCACACCTCTTCACCGGAACAGGAAGTCTCATCTTACTGCGAGGAGCTGCTAGTGATTTTAAACTGCTTTACAATTTTAAACTAATTGTTAAGTCTTGCTATTCTCCTCCATGCAGAGAATTCGGTCTAGAAAACCCTAAGGGCAGGTCTACTCTGGGAATTACGAGGGACCGGAAGCGGCCAGGAGGAGAGACAGTGTGGGGTGGGTATTAGGGAAGGGGCGCCATAACCTGCCTGGAAGGGAGCAATTCCCCACGTGGGTCAGCGGAGCAGACGCTGCCCAGTTGAGGCTCGGTCAAGGGCACCAGGGGCATCGGAGAAGGAAGGTGCCAGAGAAAATGAAGGGGCATCAGTGATGTCACAGCATCCCTGGCAGGGGTCTGCAGTCTGTACTGCAGGGCTCGGCAGGCACATTCATGGGACAAAGGGTCAGATTGGGACACATGCCACTACACTTGGAAGGAGTATCCCTGGCTTCTGCCCCACCATTGTGCCATGCATGGGGACTAAGGGGTGTTTCTCCTGGGTTTCCCATTGTTAAGAGGTGGGGCTTTGTTCTGTTACCACGCAAGGGCCCACTTCCTCCTGGCCCTGCTTGCTCTGCCGCCCTGAGGCAGGCTTCCTCCCTCTTAGGAACCTCATCCTCCCACCCGGCTGGCTAACAGCAGGCTGACAAGGCAGGCAGGTAACTTGAGTCGGCTGGCATATTACAGGTGCTGTGTAAGCAAACTCTCGCATGTGTTTACATCAGACCCTTATGAAACAGGCTTTCCACTCCAATGAAGAATGAGTCTGCCAAACCCACAGGGGCCGTTCGACCCTGCCCTGTCTGGTGGCTAGGAGTCGGATGGCAGCGAGGCTCTGGTTTTTGGTTCCTGCTGATGAAAACAAGAGTATATGGAAGGATGAAAGCAGCCGTAAAGTTTGCTAAGAGAGAATGCTACAAGAGTAGCGATATGGGCCCAGAGTGCCACCCTGTGGGCTCTGCCTGTACCCAATGCCAACAGCATCCTTTCTCTCAGATGCCTAGGCCCTGAGTTGCCACCCAACCCCGAATCTGTCCCACGTAGGAGATGGCGGCTGGGGGCCTCCGGGCTCTGGGCCTCACGCTCTGAGATGGCCGGTGGCGAAAAAGCAGCCACTGAACAGCAGAGGGAGCCCCTGCTCCAGCTGTTCCACGTTTCCAGAGGGATCCCTTTAAGGAAAACCATGGGGGTGGGGGTGGGGGTGGTTAACTGGATGAAGTTGGCAGATCTGAAGTCCTAAGAAGGTAAGGCAAAGAAGCACCTTCCTGAAAGAAGACAGTAGCCCCAACTAGACTCAACAGGTGGCAGGTGCCTTCATCCTCAAGGTAATGTTATCCACAAGGCAAGGTTCTTAATTCACAGCCTTAATCACAGGAGGTCTCGGCCTATCGCTGAAGCAATGCCTGTGGAGAAAAAGTGAATCTAGCTCCTCATTTACGGACTGCGGTAGGTACATAATCTGGTGTCAATTTGAGGATTAAGAGTGTAGGGGTGGAGTCTAGCCTGTCAATGAGGCCTGTGTGGCATGGCCTTCTTCTGAGGATTCTGGGAACTCCTGTCTTTCTTTTCTGGAAGTGGGAGACGCTCTCTGCTCACTCCTTTGGAGACTCTCTACTGGTAAGGTTCACTCCCTGAGAGACATTTCTGAGAAGCCACATGAAGCTACCCTGAGGCAGGCAGAGTTTCGGAGCTGAAGGAGTCACGTGGACACCCCTGCAAGAGCTGAGAGACTTCCAGCCCACGGGGCCCGTGATCTTCCTGCATTCGGTGTCATTGCATGTGTTTCATAAGTCTGAAGAGGATTTGTGGATTTATGGATTGGTATCAGACACATGGGCTAATATTAGACTTACGGGCTTGATCTGGACTGGGATGTTTTCTCAATATTCAGTTACTCTTGTATATAAACCTCTTTCTTATACACATGAACATCTATGAATTTGTTTCTCTAGTCTACCCAGACAACACAACTATCTCATTATCTGCAACAGTCCTAGGGCAGTGCCCTCCAAGGAATGGCACAAACATGAGCGAGTCAGCATGGGGAGCGGGCCACATCGTCGTGACTCAGGTTGGGCTGCTTGCAACAAGGTCGGCATTTCGAAATCAACAGCTGCTCCTTGGGAGCATGACCAGGCTTCCTACTCCCGTAAAGAGTCGCAGCCTCAGAAACCCACAGAAGCAGCCCTCCCCTGTCCTACAGGGTCGCTATCAGTCGGAACTGACTCGGTGACAATGCATTTTGTTGCTTTGTCTTGTCCTCGGTGGAGACTAGGCTAAGCCTGGTCTGGGGCACCCTCTGCTGGACACCCTGAACACTAGAGGCCCAGGTGATGACCAGACCACGTGAGGAACCTCAGCCCCAGAAAACCTCTTCTACCACAGCTAGGGCTGGCACAGAAAGCCCAAGACCACTGGAAGGCAGGGGGAGTCCGGAGGAGGGTTGGAAGGTGCCTGGGAGGCTAGGGAGAGACCGTGAGAGGGAAGAAGGATTCGTGGGGCTCCAGGGGGAGGGTAGGCAGGGCATGAATGAGGTCCCTGCTCAGGGTGGGTGGCAGGAGGCTGAGGCAACATCCAACCGTCCCTCCCACCTCCAACCCCGAAGGCTCTGTGGTCCTAAGGAAGGGGCGCTTGCCATGCCACATTTCCCAAGATCTACCAGGGGTGCCCAAAGGGCAGGGCTCACATAACGAGGATTTCATATTACCAATCAAGCTGACAAGGGAGGCGTGGAGGCAGTATCAACAGAGCTGTGTC